TGCTCAATTCCTTGCCAGAATTGAAAGGGTTAATAACAACGTATTCTTTCCTATTCAAATAAATGACTTAGGAAGAAGTAGGAATGCAAAGCTGGACTTAAAGAGTGAGAACAGCTATATTAGCAGAAGTCTGTTAAAGCAGATCGCTAATCCTAAAATGATCAGGTACGCTTCCCCACATGACAGGTGGATCCAGAATCTGGATGGCGAATCAGAGAGTCACAATGTGATAGCAAAATGTTTACTATCTATTTCCATCGAAATAAGACCGTTAAACATTTATTCCTAGTGATAAACGAACCTCGCTATCAGGTTTACGTTGGCAATGATGTCATACAACACTTTGCCATACACCTTGACCTGATTAATTCCAACTTGTGGACAAGGTTAAAAGGTAATCCTTGTGGATACCTACATGAAGAAAACGCCCTGAAATCAGGACAAATACTTCCATATGCGGTAAGTATCCAAGTACCTGATGACATAACCATTCCACAGGGGACAAGTAACTTTCTTTTACCCCTACAGGTCAAGGAGGGTCAGAGATTGGAAAACTCTGATGCCCTAATCTGTTTATCCAACAGGATACAACAATTAGGGATGATGGTAACACATACACCAATGGTAAGTATTGGTAAGAATCCCACCTATATCATGGTCAACAATGTTACACCCAATAGTGTTACTTTACCAAAAGGAACATTATTAGGTCTAGCATTGGATGCTAAGTACTATACATTTGGTTTCCAAAACCAAATTATAGGCCTCATCCCTGAAGAATACTTAACTGAGGACGAAATTGTCGATCAAATATTCCATTCCTCCCCAAAAAGGAACATTATTAGGTCTAGCATTGGATGCTGAGTACTATACATTTGGTTTCCAAAACCAAATTATAGGCCTCATCCCTGAAGAATACTTAACTGAGGACGAAATTGTCGATCAAATATTCCATTCCTCCCCAGAAGGATTATTCACTATCCTATCTGTATATCCCTTCAACGTTGAAGAAGGCTCGTGTAAAATCGAAGAAGCATCTATCACCTTCGATCATCCGCTCAATGAGCAGGAATCACAAGAGTATCACGACCAAAGAGAAAAGGTAAGTCAACACCGAACTGACCTAACTTCTAGGCTTGAAGAAGCTTATGAGATAGGCCAGCCTGAAATCTTTCCAGGATTTCAGGAAAGGCTAGAAGAGCAAATATATTTAGCTGACGGTTGCTCCAACGATGCTGAGCGGCAGCAGCTAAAGGAAATCCTTTTGGAATTCCAAGATATTTTTGTCAAAGATTCCTACGATTGTGGGTTAACTAACCTCCACGTAGCCAGAATACAAACTGATCCAAATTTACCACCTGTATTTATCAAACAATATAGACTCCCATTAGCGTCATATGATGGTCTACAAGACATCATTCAGAATTTAAAGGAAAGGGGCATTATACGTCCAGTGCACAGTTCGTATAATAATCCGATCTTGGGGATTCTGAAACCTAATGGACAATGGCGTTTATGCGCTGACTTACGACAGCTAAACAAACGCGTCTATATGTCTGGTTGGCCAACGCCATACATAGACCAATGTTTGGTACAAATGCAGGGATCCAAAATATTCACTGCCATTGACTGTGCGCAGGGATATTGGACTGTACCAGTCCATAATGAAGACCAATACAAATTGGCCTTCACATTTGGAAAACAGCAGTATACCTGGACCCGTATGCCTTTCGGTTACATAAACTCTGGTCATGAATTTGCTGTGTTCATGCATAAAGCTATGCCTGACGCACTTGAGAGAGGAACGTTATCATATGTCGACAATGTCTTGCTGAAAAGCACTTCCTTTGATCAACATATCTTAGAGATTAGACATGTTCTCACTCAGTTAAGAGAGGCAGGGATTAAACTGTCTTTACAAAAGGCGCAATGGTGTCGCACCCATGTCAATTTCCTCGGACATGAGGTAACTTCTGAAGGATTAAATCCCCAGAGGAAGAAGGTTGAAGCCGTACTAAAGGCTAAAACACCTTCAAACATCAGGGAATTAAGATCGTTCCTTGGTATGACTAACTACTCCCATAAGTTTATAGACAACTATGCAGAAATAACTAAACCACTCTTACACCTGCTTAAAAAGGAAACTACCTGGCACTGGGGGGAGCCTCAGGACCAAGCGGTAAGTGCACTGAGGAGGAAGCTCACTCAGGCACCCTGTTTAGCATACCCAGAGGGGGGTAAACCCTTCTATCTGGAGACAGGTTATACCGATTTAAGCATCAGTGCTGTTCTGTATCAGAAGCAGGACAGTTTAAACAAAGTTATTGCATATGCTAGCAAGACTTTGTCACCTGTTGAAGTTAAATTCAACACGTGTGAGAAGGCGTTATTGTCGACTGTCTGGGCACTACAAAATTTTCGTAGCTATATCCAAGGTGAGAAAATAATTGTAGAAACAGCTCACCAACCTCTACAGTATCTGCAGAGTGAAAGAATTAGAGACGGTAATCTCTCTAACAGTCGGATTACTGCATGGACTCTATCCTTACAGGGATGGCCGTTAGAAGTCCGTTATAAACATAATAAGAGAAGCCCAGTTGCCCAAGGTTTAGCAGAATTACATGACTGTACTGCTCCATCTCTGGATGATAATAACACCGGAGATGACTTCCTAGAAGAGCAATTGCTATCTCCTTATAAAGTTTATGACGAGGAATACTGTCGACCACTACCGTGGGTATACATTGATGGTTGTTCATATCACCACGTCGTTGGTGCTGAACGGAAGTTAGTTGCAGGTATCGGAATCGCCTGGACAGGTGATTATCCCAATGTATCTATAGGATACAATATTGGTCCCAAAAGCAGTCAGATAGCCGAACTCTGTGCAGTATATAAGACCATTCAAATGGCAATAGAATATGGTATCAAAGAATTTGTTATTAAAACTGATTCCAACTATGTTCGCAACAGTTTCGTCGAATATCTGCCTAGCTGGAAACGTAACCAAATGCTGAAAAGCAATAACAAACCTGTTAAACATGGGAAATTGTTTTGTAAAATCGATGAGTTGGTTAAGGAAAATGGTTTAACCATATATTGGAAGAAAACCAAAGGCCATTCTAAAATAGAAGGTATTGACAAGGATGGTAATGACTTAGCCGATTCACTGGCAAAACAAGCTGCCATCAATGGGGAAACCCTAAACATTGATGATCTTATGGGTTCAATTCATGTTGAAGCCATAACTAGACGACAGGCTAGAGATAATGCCGACTTAAACGTTGTGCAATGGAGTCAAGAAGCTCCTAGTAAGGACCTGATTACTAGTCAAAAGAATGATCCTGTCATAGGCATATTCTATAGACATATAGAAGACCCTACTGCCAATCCCATCACAGATGAGGATTGCAAAGTTAACGAAGATTTACGAATCTTGATGAGATATAAAGTCCAATTTAGTATCATGGATGGGTTACTGGTCAGAACTTCTAAACATGGTATACAACAATGGGTAGTCCCAACGGTATACAGAGGGTTAATGCTCCAACACGCACATGATGCACCCACATCTGGGCATCGTGGTGATAAGATCACATATGAGATATTGCGTGATTATGCATATTGGCCACACATGTTAAGGGATGTTAAGACATACTGTCAGGGATGCTTGATTTGTCCGCAATATCAACCCCATGGTCCAACCCATCGTGCACCACTTCAGAAGAGGGGGGTGTCATTACCCTGGTCTGATATTCAAATTGACTTTATAGGTCCTGTAACAAGATCTTCAAGAGGTAACAAATACATGTTAACCGTTACATGTATGTACACAAAGTGGATAGAATGTTTGCCTTGTAAAGAGAACACGAGTACCGTGTGCGCCACTTTGTTGATTAACCATGTCTTTTCCAGGTTCGGTCTGCCTCAAAGAATTGAGTCAGACAGAGGTAGTCATTTTACCAGCGAAGTAAATGTGGAACATTCTAGGTGTTAAACGAAAGCTACATATTGCATACCGCGCTGCGTCTAGCGGGGGGGTAGAGCGATATAACCAGTCTATCGTTAATATTCTGAAGAAATATGTTAAGGAGTCTGGTAAAGACTGGGACATTAAATTGCCCCTAGTTTTAATGGCGATTAGAGCTACACCTAGCACTGCTACCAAATTGTCACCTTTTGAATTGATGACAGGAAGAAAGATGGTTTTACCACAGCATTTACTATATCGTACTTCAGATCATAACTTGATCAATGCTGCCACTACGCATCAGTATATCGAAGATTTGCGCAAGCATTTACAGCATGCGTTTGCTTTTGCCCAAAAGAATCTAGAAAAAGCAGCGACAGGGGTTAAGACCTATTACGATCTAAAAACCACGAAAAAGGAATATGAGATAACAGATCAAGTCTATCTGTATAACTTTGCGCGAAATCAAGTCAAGGAAAATAAATTTTTACCTTCTTGGAAAGGGCCATATGTCATCATTGACAAAATTTCCCCAGTAGCGTATAAGATAAAAATTCCTAAGGATGGTGATTTTATTGAAAAGTGGGTTCACATTAACCAGTTGCTTGCTTGTCATCCTAAATCTCAATTAAGGATTATAGGTGTGGATTCAGACGCAGAAGGGTGAACGACTAACCTGGATGAATGCTTGATTCACGTGGTATCGTATGATGTGAATTGTTGTGATGTGCCATGATCTCATGTACGTTCATGTCCTTAACCATTTCCTTGCCATCCAATAACTACATTTCTAAGCAGGTTACTAGCTTGTTTAACTGCTATAGGCATATTGCTGAGGAGTCAGTAATAAATGTAGTGAGGGATGAAGTTATAAAAATAGAATTAGAGAGAATACATATGTTGATGAATCGTAATAATGTGTTGTCCTAGGCCAAGTGATGTCACACTGTTATAAGTTTGTATGCTTAACAAACCTTGAATCATTAGTAGATAAGTCTGAAACGAGTTCCTGATCCGTGACTGTCGAAAGATGTCCAAGAAGGATGTGGCGTGTTTCTGGATCGTACTGCTCCTGTGCCAAGAGCTACGGACCGACCCGATCGCAGAGATGGGACCATCCTCCAGCATCCTGATTCAAGAGACACCAGGGTTCATCTTAACGGAGAAGAGGATCCTGACCCGACGTGTGTTCGTCAGCTTGGACCCCAAGATTTCCATCGAGAAGGCATACAACATTTCATCGATGCAGCTTCCTGAGTTACAGACTTGGTACCAGATGCACCTCCAAAGAGCACAGGACCGTGTGCAAAACATCTTGGAGCAAGCCCGGAAACCATTTGTATCCAGTTCTATTCCGATGAGCAACCGACCCAAAAGGTTCCTCACCGCTATAATTGTTGCATTAGTTTGTGCCACTGTCGGTGCAGTTGTCGCAACTGGAATGTCTGCAGCCAACTCTATTACTGTCCAAAAGCTGGATATGGAAATCTATGCGCTAAAGCAACACATTAACGATATTCATCAGGTGATACAACAGCAAAGAACACTTCTCCAAGACGTGTTAACTATTGTGGAAGACACAGTTGTTACAACAAATTTGCATTCGGAGTTAATTGCCAAATCCACTGAGCTGCACCAAAGTCATGACTTATTTAAGCGTGAACTTCTATTTCTGCATGACCCAATATTGTTCCACACACTTGCTTTTCTTGACGAAGTGCAAACTGGAATGATCGAATTGGCAGGGGGACGCATACCTCTGTATTTTGTATCCAAGGATATTGTTCATGCGATGCTTGCCAATGTGGATGGAGAAACAATTGAGCCTATGCAATTAAATCTGGCATTTGAGATGGGGAGCGCTATACCTCTCTTAATTGATCCGGAACGTATGGAGATTTGCTTTTTATTGGCCATACCATATGTAACTCCCAAGAACATTTTTCAAATGAAAACAATGTACTATGATAATAATGATATTATGGTTGATTGTACTAAGTGTAAAGTTCAAAACTATTACAGGTACAAATATATACAAAAATGTTCATTCCACGCACGGGCCTATGTTAGAAATGATGTGATTGCACAATATGTCTGGTAACTTCTATAGTGCTTATTCATAAGCTAAATTAATTTTGGCTACGAAATGCACTAAAGGGGGGTTATGTCAGGGTATTTATATCGGCAGACATCTTGTGCTATGATAGAAATTAAAAGTGTATATTCTGAGTCACTCTGAACAGAGCAGACTCCATTTTGTTATTTTCAAATTAACAAAGAGACACACGATTTCTATCTGTAAAACTAACCATTTTGCCAGAGCTAAAGGAATGCATAGTATAAACAAACCAAGTGATAAGGAGAACGGGGGTTGGATAGACTGTCTAAAATGCTAATGGAATATAATCAATTCTAAACCCAGACAATTGTGACAGAGAAGATTAAATAATAAAATTTTACTGTCTATATATGTAAGGTACCATTGTAAGTTTAAGGTTAAACTTAGTTCATGATCTGCCATTGTAGAAATTATAGCAGGAATCGCAGACACTAAGTCTGGACAAAACTTAAAGAAACTGTTTGATCTGACAGCAAAAATGTAAGTTATGGCACTATAAAAATAGGCCAAAATGACGTCAAAATAGCCACCAGGAAAAGTTAACTCTTTCCTGGATAGGTATGTTTAGTGGGACAAGACTGCCCTCTGTAGACCAAATAACTAAATTGCGATCTGGAAGATAACCACACCTCTAGTGCTTCTATTGGGTTATCAACTGATGACGTACAGAGAGTCTGGCCCTTTAAAAGTTAGGACAAAGGGAAGATAGGAAGGTATGCGAAGGTATGCAAAGGAGAAAGAAAGACAGAGACGAGAAATGCAAGAGTATGCAAAGAAAGCAAAGAAGTGAGCAGTGGGGAGCAATGACACTCTAGGACACACAAATTCCTACACACCTCCATGCAGAGAGACATCCAAATAAGTTCCTGAGACTATCTACCAATCGGATGAAATATCTACTCAACTGGTAATTATACTGGTTTCATTTAATTAATTAAATTAATTAAAATTTACTAATAGCATGATATATGACTAGGATAAAGCACGGTCAGATTTCCAGATTAAGAAATCTTAGTTAACTAAAGAATATATAGTTATAAACATTCCATTCTGCAGGTGGAATTAAGAATAATTATATATTAAGGTGACATTATCACGTGTTAGCATACCGCTGTTTTTATCCAGGCTTATTGATTTGCTCTAAATTAGGATAAGATATCTTTTTAGGCGAATTAAAATTCTGCTTATATAACATGGTAGATTCTCTTATTGGATGGTTCCAGGAAATGACTAATGAACTGGTTTAAATGTTATTTTATTTAAAATTACATAAGGATAGATCTTGATTACCTAGGAGATCTAGCCAGCATTGAAAGGGTTATTCTAACTGTTAGCCAGGGTTTTATGGCCCTTCGCTGTGAAAAGCTTCACTCTATGTCTGTGAAAGATAGTCATAAATCGTGTAAGACTTGACAGAAAATGCTGTTTAGCCATTGAAACGTGTATAGCCATTCCTTTGTATTGCATACCATTTTATACTGCATATTCATTGATTATTGTCACGCATGTTACATATTATTATTATTAATTAATTAGTCATTATAAAATAAATCTATTTTTATAAAATTTTGATATTATTTATATGAAATACTTTTCACTTAACACGATTTTTGGGATCTGAGAATTGAATTAGTGGGCAATTCTCACTGTTACTATTATTACCCCATAAATATCCCCACATAACATTATAATATTTATATAGGGATACCAAATTAGTCAGATATCTACTAAAAACTGAAAGAACAAAATTAAGAAAAAAGCTTTTTTTAGTTTGATCTTTCAACATTTTAGCAGATATTTTACTAAATTGGGGAGTTTAAAGGGACACTCCAGGCACCCAGACCACGTCTGCCCATTGGAGTGGTCTGGGTGCCAACTCCCACTACCCTTAACCCTGCAAGTGTACTAGACAGCCACTAGAGGGCATTTCCGTGTCTCTAGCACAGATTTGTGAGGACCTCCAGCGTTGCTCAATTCCCCATAGGAAAGCATTGAAAAGCATTTTCAATGCTTTCCTATGGGGAGCTCTAATGCCCGGTGGGAGGGATCAGTCTCACCCACTGGTCGACGTAATGCAGAGGAGGAGCGGAGGCGACTCGAAACCACCACCGAGGGACATTGGCGGGGGTCTCAGGTAAGTGACTGAAGGGGTTTTCACCCCTTCAGCAACTGGGGATTGGGAGGTGGGAGGGAGAGGGGACCTGCAGTGCCAGGAAAATGGATTGTTTTCCTGGCACTGGAGTTTCCCTTTAAGGATACCAAATTAGGGTGATGTTTAGCAGCTTATTTAGTAATTGGTACTTATTACAATCCCATTATGGAGTTGGGACCATCCACCACATGTGGCGGGAATGTGAAAAACGTATGAAAGCCAATATTAAACAGAAGCTGGTAGAGACATATAATAAATGAACAAAATACAAAGTCTCAGTATGTGACAACAAATAGATACCACCACACTCTAAAACACCTGTATGATAACCTCTCTCCTCACACAAAAAACAAAATATACACACAAATCAGGTGGAGTGTAAGGTGGACCTTGAATACAAGTATCACAGACAGCTGAAAGTATATATAATAGACACAACCTGGTGCAATATAGTCTGGTACATCTACATGTATAATAATCAACAGGTGTTGTACTCACAAAAACAGAGCCAGGTACACTAAGCTCAATGTACAGGCTGGTGGGAATATTAGGAGGAATCCCACTCCCTAGCTGAGCAGAATCAGGTAGTGTGCCAAAGATCTTAAACTCAATAACGCTCCAGGGCATAAAATGGTGATAAAAATCCGATTTATTAAAAACATAAAAATAAAATAACAGCCAGTAAATACTGCTAAGTCTCCAGTAAGTTCAAATATTTGCAAAACACGTTTCGCCTAAATAGGCTTCCTCAGTTGCATGCGTCTGTGATACCTGTATTCAAGGTCCACCTTACACTCCACCTGATTTGTATTTCTATATGTTGGTAGGGACATATAGACTTTTTTTTAGTGAGACCTTAATACATTCTCCCCAGATTTTTCTTTTTTACCTCGATATCCTACTAAAAAAAACAACAACCAAAAGTACCTTTTAATTAATATTTTATTAGTGTAGCGTTACTTACCTTAACCGGGGGCCGGTCGCGGTCCTCTCTTCAAGCCGCACGCGGTCCTGCGGCTGCACGAGCCGCGCGCGGCTCATCCGACTGCTTCAGATGGAAGGCGGGCAGTGACCGCGTGAAGCGGTCACGTGTCCCGCCTGAAACTAAGAGCGCGCCGCGAGTCTCGGGCGCGCTCTTAAAGAGACAGTGGGAGCCTAATTGCCAAAAGGCTCCCATTGGCTCCTGTCATACCACACTCCCTATACAATTACCTATGGGGGTGTGGAAGTGACAGGAGCCAATCACTTTGGTTTAAAAGCTATTTAACTTACCTTTTTCCCTTAGCTCGTTGCCCTATCGTGGTTTCTGTTTCAGTTCCCTTTAGCGCTTGTGGTGTTCAGTTGTGTTTTCTCGTATTGACTTTGGCTTCGTATTCTGACTTCGTTTTCGCTTTATCCTTATCTGTACTGTTTGCCGGCTTGCTGTTTTCCGTGTACCAGACCCCGGCTTGTCCTAGTTTACGCTGTCTCTCTGTGCCCTTGACCTCGGTTTGTTCCTGGCTCTGTCTCCTCTCATATACGTCGAGTCCGGCCATTCTAAGGTCCGGTAGACGTATCTCTCCTCTGTATTTGCCTCTGTTTAGCTGGATCCTGCGTGTAGGGGTATATTCTCGTTACATTACGATAGGGCCATGGACCCCGCAGATTTAGCTCAACAGATGGCGTCCCATGAGGCAAGATTTGTAGAGCAGGATCACCGTATGGATCAGATAGCTCAGGCTCTCCAGACGCTCCTAGCTAGAACCGTTCCAGCAACCACACCTAACCCTCCTACGCCCCTTCTCCCTGAAGTATCTACTTTGCCTAATACTTCGGCCCATTTAACACCTCCTCCTAGGTATGGAGGGGACTCTAAGACTTGCAGAGGGTTTATTAATCAAATTGAATTCCACTTCGAAATGTATCCACGTTCATTTCCCACAGAGAGGTCTAAGGTTGGGTTCTTTATGCACCAACTTACCGATAAGGCACTTGAGTGGGCAAATCCTATTTGGGAAGCTAATGGACCTATGGTACATGATTTCAACAGTTTTCTTACGGCTTTTCGTAGAACTTTTGACACAATGAAAAGGTCAAAGAATGCCGCGAGAGCATTAATGAGAATTAAACAGGGTTCTAGGTCTGTGGCTGATTATGCTATTCAGTTTCGCACTCTTGCTTCGCAGGTAGATTGGACCAACAATGGGTTAACTACTGCCTTTATGGAAGGTTTGTCAGATACGATATTGGATGAGGTAGCAGCTAAGGAGCTTCCTATTGCCTTAGAGGACCTTATCGATTACCTCATTGATATAGATAATAGAATTCGTGACAGGCTCTATACCAAGAACAGGAATAGACGTTTTGTTACACCCATTAACCCCAGAGTTAATATACCAGAGAGTGTTAAAGTGTCTGAGGAGGAACCTATGCAATTAGGGGTTGCCAAACTCTCTGATACTGAGAAATTACATAGGAGAAGGGAGGGACTCTGCCTATACTGTGGTAGGAGAGACCATATGGTAAAGGAATGTCCTTTACTCCCGGAAAACTCTCGCACCTAAGACCTTATAGGGGACTGGCCTTGGGTGTGATATCTAAGTCTCCTAAATTGCCTCCTAACCGCTTGCTTCTCCCGGTTTCTTTATATATGGGAGAGATTTGTATAGTTGACAACATATATGCTCTGGTTGACTCTGGGGCAGCTGAAAATTTTATAGACTCTGGCTTTATAAAGAGAAACAACATTCCCATCAGAGAGAAGGAGATACCCTTGGCCGTTGAGGCCATAGATGGTAGACCATTAAGTTCTCCAGTTGTTACTCATGAGACTGTACCATTACACATGTACACAGGGGTTTTACACTATGAAACCATTCGATTCCAGGTCATCACCTCTCCCTCTTCACAGTTAGTATTAGGGTATCCATGGTTACGTGCTCACAATCCCATTTTTGACTGGGAGACAGGGCAAATAAAATCATGGAGTGAGGCCTGCCACGAGTCTTGTACGTTGGAAGTCACACCTTTGAATTCTATTGAGGTACCTACCAGTCCTCCTTTGTCTACGGTTATACCCCCTCAGTATTTATCTCTAAAGACTGTTTTCGATAAAAGGGAGGCTGAGAAATTACCGCCTCACAGACCCTATGATTGCGCTATTGACTTGTTGCCTGGCACTATACCTCCAAAGGGCAGGGTGTACCCCTTATCGGTTCAAGAAAACCGTGTCATGGAGGAGTATATTAAGGAATCACTAGAAAAGGGGTTTATTAGGAGATCCTCTTCTCCAGCTGGAGCAGGGTTCTTCTTTGTATCGAAGAAAGAAGGTGATTTAAGACCGTGTATAGATTATAGAGGTCTAAACAAAATCACTATCAAAAATGCATACCCTATACCTTTAATTACAGAATTATTTGACAGGCTGAAACATGCCACTGTGTTCACTAAATTAGACCTTAGGAGTGCATACAATTTGATACGTATAAAGGAAAATCACGAATGGAAGACTGCATTCAACACTAGATCCGGTCATTACGAATATACTGTTATGCCATTTGGGCTTTGCAATGCCCCAGCAGTATTCCAAGAATTTATT